TGGCTGGTGTTCTGGTCTCTGTTCCCCATTCAAATAATTGACTGAAAGAATGCAACACGAGCAATGCAAAATGCAAACTGCAAAATGCAAAAATTGAAGGGGCAGCTGGAGTTGTGTGGCATGTTGCTGCCTCTGCCTCTGCCGTTTGTTATTATTTTTAATATTAAATTGCAATTGCTGCGTTGATTTAATTAGTGGCAAAGGGGGGTGGGGTTGCGGGTGGGCAGCGGTCTGCACATGCAGCAGCAACTGCAACAGTAAACAGCACGTTGAAGCAGCAATTTTAATGACCGAAAAGCGAGGCAGGCAGGGATCCGTCCGTCCACCGATCGATGTGCGGATCACTCGATCATACGGTTCGCGGATACCAAGAACCAAGAACCGCGACTCCCAGCATCTCGGAATCCCAGATGTGCGATATTTTTACAATGTTTAGCCAAAGCAAACACCAGAGTTCCACACAGAGTTAACTTAAACAAAACTTGCAACGCAGCCATTGCCCCCTGTCCATGCCCCTTTCCCTTTCCCTTTCCCTTGTCCCATCCCTTTCCCAATAAGCTGTGTCCCGTGTGGCTTGTGGCAACTTTGTGGCCCATCAATTTGAAGACTGCACACAAAATAAACTAAACATTAAATAAAATATTTTATTATGTTGAAGCGAAACCAGTTCGACAAAGTCATCGTCGTCTCGTTGTCACACACACACACACACTTAATGCCACTCAACACAATGTTGCATGTTCACAGACAGAGACACAGTGCGAGACGTGCCCCAACTCCAGCTCCAGCTCCAGCTCCAAGTCCAAGTCCAGTTGATGGCAAAATTCATAAACAACTCGAGAGCTTTTCGTTGGCAGTTCAAAGTAAATCTATGGGAGAATATACATATTTATACCCTCTATAGGGAGTGGCAAGAGGAGAGTTTCACTGCTCTCTAGGGAGTTCTCATTGAGGGATCGTTTGACGGAGATGAAACACAGGCGTTTGAGGTGTGCAAAATAAAGATTTTTCCTCCATTTTAGTTGCATTTTTCTCTAATGTTTCTGCTGCTTTTATTTGCATTTTTTATCTACAATATTTAGCCATTATTCCTTGAGCATTCCAAGGCATTTAGCGTATGCCAGGGTATCCAGCACTTCGACTTCTAGCGCCTCTGCAGACAGCCCCTTTCCCTTTCCCATTCACGTTTTTTTTTTCTTCTATTTTTCAATTTGCAATTCAATAATTTGTACGCATTATTTGTTGCATGTCTCTCTGTCGTCTGTCAATATGCTTTTTATTGAAATTGATATAAGGAAGTTTACCGCTAGACGATGACGATGGTCCCTCCTCGATCGTGCAACATGGATCGATCGCCCGCAGTGGCTTGTGTGGCACGCAGCAGATCATTGACTTGACGCTTGCCAGCGGAAATAATTTAGACGCTTGCAAAATAAGTTTTGTTTATGCAAAAGGAATATATGTACATGCAGATGCAGATACAAAGATACATAAGTATCTGCGTATGTCTGCATTTTATGATTGGCCTTTAATTAAATGACAAAATATGTGGCGAGTCGTAAACAAGAGTCGTCGCAGAGTGGAGGAGACAGCTGCAGAAACATGAATTATGCCACTAATTGAGGAACGGTGTGGGCCTGAGGCACGAACCACACGACGACTCACACGAGCAACAGGAGACGGATATGCAAAACCGGGTGGTGTTGCATTTGGGTTAATATAACACTTTAGGCCATCAAAAAAATGTGCCGGCAGCTCCATCAATTGAGAGGAAATGTTGAGGATCCCCTAATAAACATTAAGAATCAAACTTACGGATATAGAGGCAGGAATCAGAGCTACACTGAGAGAAATTATGAGTCTTTTTTAGATTTCTTAAGTTATTTTTCAGGCGAACTTTTTGTTGCAAGATTTTTGTTATTTTTGAACGTTTTTTTAAATGGTTTTCTTCCTGTGTTTGCATCGAGAATCCATCTACCATTAACAGTGGGAGAAATCAGAGCTACACTGAGAGAAACTTTGCTTTTTATTTAAGATTTCTTCGAAGCTTTCTTGGCAGATATTTTCATAAAATTAATGCAATAATTGTCAGGTTTCTACTTTTCTGCCAGTTCTGGCCTCACCTAGTTGGCTCTGCCACTTAGACACTGAACGTCTCTGCCTGCTGCTAATCTGTCTCTGTGGATTATCTCTGGGCGGGCGGGGCAGGGGCAGGAAATGGATCTTGGGTCTTGGAACAAGTTCAAGATACGCTCAGACTTCAGGCCGTGTTCTAGATTCGCACACTGTTGGCTGTTTGTTTGTCTGGCCTGGCCCGGCCAGCAACAATGTTGCAGCAACTCGTTTTCCACACACACACACGCCATGCCACATGTCGATTGGAGACACAGTTAGTCGTAGTCTTTTGCATTAGTTTAGTGTAATAAACTTGACTGCTTTATAGAAATGTTGCAATTTAGTCAACAACTGTAGTGCTTGAGTGCCACCTGCCTCGCCCCGCAGCCCCTGCCGCTGCCTGCACCACCTGGCCGGCGGCAGGCCCCTTTGATAGAAAGGCGACACAGAGCCACAACAGATCCCACAATCAACAGTGGAGCGGCGTGTGCTGTTATCATATCTTTCACTTAAAATAAATAAAATTACAATTTAATATTATAACAACAGCGGGAGGGGGGCTTTTGCCACATGACACCACCCCCCGGCCAGATCTAAGCGCTTTGTTTCTCTTTGGAGAACGAAAGAGGGAGCCGCCACTCGAGTGCACAACACAGCAACAAATAGTCAATTAATTATTACACAAACAATTCTAAACGGTACAAAGAAAAGTTGGGAAATGCAATGGAATATTTGTATACCCTGTAGGTGACATTTTGTGGCCATAAAAGTGGGAAGAAAGTGTCCTACAAATACGCAAAATATGTGCAAAAATAAATGAAACAGCGTAAGCGTCGACTTTTGTTTGAATTTTGATTGAATTTATAGATCTACAGGAGCTTTTTGCTGCGGAAATTATAACTTCAATTTCGAATGAACAATTCTTAGTCTGCGCAAAGTTTAAGTTGCATTTTGTGGCCATAAAAACTAGAGGAAAGAGTCAACTGATGGGACTAAAAATACGATAATTATGTATAAAAATAAATAAACCAACCGTGCGTGGAATTTTTGTATAGTTTTCAACAAAAATGTGGACAGCAGATCTTTGCTTTGCTAACTGCAGCTTCGAGCTTGCCAATTTTTAATTTCTAAAGTAAACAAATAGAAATCTGTGCAAAGTTTTAGCTGTATTTTGTACACAAACAATAAGTTTATATTTGAATAAAACTACCAATCAGCTGCTGATCATTTTGCTTTTCCTCTGCTCATAAATCATCATACCCTCCACCGAAAAACACCCTTCCAAAGCAGAGCAGAGCAGAGCAGAGCAAACTTCGCTTCTTACGAAAGTGTTTTAGTATCAATTTGTTTTTTCACCGATCACCGCCGATCATATTTTTGTTGCCTCCCAAGCATGTGTGTGTGTGTGTGTGTGTGTTTTGTGTTTCTTTTTTGCGCCATGTCTCAAGCACATAATTGAAACTTGTTGAGATACAGATACCGATAGGACGGGGCCCTCTCTCCTGCCGGCACGCACTTCTCCCTTCTGGCGATTGATTTTTACCTATTTTAATGTTAAGTTTTTATTTGCCATGCACCTGATAGGCCAAACACCCCCGAGCCCCGCTGCTCCTACAACGACACCCGATCGCTGGTGATAATAATAATAATTAGTCATTTTATTGTTCGGAAAAAAATAAACTTGTTTTTAATTGCTTGCCAAAGGCAGTTGGGGAGACGGCCGATAAGGAGGACATGACTTGAGAAAATATCGGAAATTATACATACAAATACGAAAGTGGGAGAATACATATACGAAAACTAATCAGATACGTGGAATGAATAGGGTGGCATGAATGCCCTTAGAATATGTCAGTAGATTGAGATTGAATGGAATTTCCATTGGGAAATTTCCTCCTCCATCCACACGCATTTCATTTGAGTGTAGCTCTGCCGCTGCTGCCGCTGCTACATTGTTGCAAGTACATTTAATATTTGCAAAAAACATCGCAATCACATTGTTCCCATTCGCTCATTTAGTTTTAAATTGCGTGTAGTACAAGAAAAGGCAGCAGCAGCAAACAAAAACAAAAAAGAGGCAACACCGCGAAAGCGAGCTAAAAAGTTGGCCCATAATCAGTGCCATACAAAAAAGTGCAGCCGGAAATTGCATGTACATATAAAATTTTGGACCCTCTCTCCCCCAACCCAAAGGCATTCGGTGCAAAAATATTTTAGAAGGGTTTGTGCCACCCGCAAGCGGAACGGGCGGAAGCCCGGACTTTCGTGCATCATTCCAATAGTTGTTGCAGCAATAATGACCTCACTGCACTGCACTTTGCTGCCCAATTGGGCAAGTGGCACTCTCCGGAGACCCCCTCAGACTCTCACTCTCTCTCGTTGAGGCGCAGCCATCGCCTCTGCTATAACACCAGAGAGTTTATTATGTCTGCACTTGGGTTTATTTGCTTTTACTGCCTTTTGCTGCGGCGATTTGTTCTTTCGATTTATGGCAGGGTCTGTCGGTCGGTCGGTCGGTCGGTCGGGTTCTGGAGGAACGTTGGCGGGGCAGCCATCGTCTTCGACGCTCTGCGGCTCCGTTCTCCGTCTCTATGCAGCGGCTGCATGCAACATTGTTGCTGCGGCAGAGGGGACTACGACAACGACAACGACTCCGCCAGAGCCAGAGCCAGAGCGTGTGCAAAAGAGCGTATAAAACGTATAAATAAAAGAATTCAAATAAAATTTTTAATAAACGAGTTGCCATTAAATTTATACATTAACTATAATTTTTATAGTTGGCGACTTTGTTTTGTGTATAAGACACAGACACAGGGACACGGGGCAGGGGCATGGACATGGGGCAGGAAGACATCGTTGGACTGTGCAAGTGGTTGTGGCCAAACGAAGCAAAGGAAAGGAAAGGAAAGGAGACTTTAACGATGCAAACGACTGATTTTTTTTTCGACTTCATTGTATTGCATACTGGCAGTGCCCAGTGCCCCTTTTGCCCATTGCCCAGTGCGCTCTCTGGCGATCTTAATTGTGTTTAGAATGGCATCATAATGGGGCAAGCAAAAACCAAATTATTAATAAACTAAAAAACAATTTCAAGGCAGACCCAAGACATCTGCAACCAAAAGGATGGATGGATGGAAGGGCATCTGCTGGAGGAAACCTTTTGCAGCAGAAGACAGTCTAAGATCATTTGAAAAAAGATGAAACATGATTAACATGAAGATCTCTAGTGGAATCTACTGGCATATTTTCTCTCTTTCCTCTCTTTCCTCTCTTTCTCTCTTTGGCATGCCCGTTCAGCCAAAAAATGTCGTTCTCATGGCTCATCCGTTTATTTGTTTAGTTTTATTATTGACAAAAGTCCCCCTTCGACGACTTTGTGAATATTTTGTGATATTTTGTGACTCGAGGCTGGGTGGGGTCCGGATTCACTCTCCCCGCACTCCTCCCCCACAGCAGCCTTTGATCTTTATTAAATGTTGAATAAACAAATCAAAAATCGAGCAAACGCAACGGCATTTTTGGTATACAAATAAAAAGAGAAGAGCAGAAGAAAATAAAACCAAGCGAACATACAAAACAAAAACAAAAACAACAACAAAAACATAAACCGAACATGAATGATCTTGTGCGATCTATTACACTGCCCTTCCCTCTTGCTTTCCATCTACCCTGCGATCATCTGTGCTGCGGTGGTTCTTGTCTACCTCCGGACTCTCACCCTCACAGCTCATTTCTTATCGCTTGATCTGTCCCGAACATCAAAAACGCAGCAAAACAAAACAAAACATTTGGCAAATGCAAATGCATTTGGCTGCGGTCAGGGAGGGAGAATCGAAGACGAAAAGAGGGAACGGGGTTGGGGTTGGGTAAGGGCAAGCAGCGCTCCCCCACTCCCGCTACTCTCCCGCTGTCTCTGTGTGTAATCGTTTGTTTGTTCTTCCCACTCTCTGCCGCTGTCTCTGCTGCTAGTTCTTCCCCCGACTCTAGGCTAGTACCGCTATGCAGCGTAGTTCTCTTACCTCTCCTCCTAACTCTCTCTCCCTTGATGTACTTGCTCTCGGGTGACGATGTGCAACGTCGGTGGCGGCATTGCCGTTGACGTTTGGCGGCGCTTCTTTGAGCCTCAAGAGCAGCCACGGCGAGAGCAAGACAGAAATCTTGACAGAAATTTATAATTAAACAAATGCGGAGACGGCGACGACGGCTGTGGTGGTGTTGAAAAAATATTGTTCCATGGGCTTTTAACATGGAAATTTTCTTTTTACATTTTTCTCAACTGTCTTCCCCTGCCCATCCCTCACGCTCTCTCTCTTTTACCCTCTCTGCCTCTGTTTCTCCTGTGTGTTTATATAAACAAAAGCAATTTAATTTTGTGTTGATGAATGTTTGGTGTACATTTTGGATGGGTTTCTGGTATGGGTTTTACTAGCGGGGTTTTAGTTCTGCCTCTGCAGCTGGTATACACTTTGTGGTGGGAGGGTACTGTGATTATGAGCAGGGGAATTGTACGTACAGATTGGCCCTAGAGAAAGGTAATCGATTTATGATTTATGAAATGCATTTATGAAATGCATTCCATGAAAGATTAAAAAAAATAATAATTATTATAATGAATAAATAGTAATAAATAATAATAATAAAATAAAAAATAAATAGCAAGTAATAATAATTATAAAAAATATAAAAATTAAGATTTTTATTACTTATTTATTATTTTGTATTGTTTTTTCACGACTGTAAAGGATCCTATTCCATCTGCATTTTTCTATTATTATTTTTAATTTATTTCATATTTTTTCTTCTATTAAAACATGTCATTCTTCAACCGATCGCTCTCCCATAGGGTATCTGCATCTTCGTTATCCCAAACCCCAAAGAGATGTTCCTAAACGTTTGATAATTGAGCTGTAGCCTCTGGCTGTATCTCAATCCGTTTGGCTGCATCTCTGTGTCTGTGCAGCTGTATCTGTATCTGTTTCTGTCTCTGTAGTTCTTGCTGCCTCTAGCTTGTTGTTTTTGTTGCTTTTGTTGTTGCTGTCTTTTGGCGGGCGGCGTCTGATTAAAGAGCATTTGCGGCGGCAGGCGGCTGAGGATTGTTTAGTTTTGTTGCATTTTGTTTATATAGAAAATACAACCAAATACACATCCATCTACTTCATTTCATTTTTGTTTGTATTTATAATTTTGTGTGTGTGTTTTAAATCAGATTTTGGATATCCTAAATGCATTTTTTAGCCTCTAATCTCCAACCTCTAGCCTCGCTACCTCACCCTCTCGCTATCCGCCTCTCTCTCTCTCTCTCTCTCTCTCTGTCTCTCTTTCTCTCTCTGGGTGGAATTCTTCTCTGAAAACGAAAATCGAAAACAAAACTTTGTGAAATTTCTGAAAATTGCATTTTGCATCATTAACAACGCATTTGTCAAATGTTGCATACGCCTCGCATCGCCTCGCATCCATATTGTGCTGCTGCTGCTGCTGCTGCTGCTGATGCTGGGACATGGCATGGGGCATGGGGCATGCCCCAGTGTGTGCGTGTGTGTGTTAATGACATGCTCACAAATTCAAATTAACATTTTGCAGCGAACGAACATCGAAGAGTGATGTGCGCACTGTGCGTGCGAAAAGTCTGCAGCCAGCGGCAAAGTTCAAGCAAATAAATGCAAGCAAATAATTGTCAAAAAATGGGCAGAAATATTTGCAAAAGAATTTCCCCCAAGGCTGGGGCACAAACTGACGCCTGGCACTGTAGCTACATTTGTCATTTTTGATCGAGCATCAAGCAAACAATTTAACTGAGGCGCCCACGCACCACCCACACACACACACACACAGCCAGTGAAGTGTGGCAGTGGTGCAGCATGAAGCACATTGCATTCGGTCCTCGCTGGACAATACTAAAAATCACATCACAAATGCAACAATAATCGCAAAAACTACCAAAAAGCAACAGCACGAGACGAATGTGGGCAACAACGAATGACGATAAAGATGATGATGATGATGCACCCCCCAAATAATGATAATGATGATGTTGATGATGATGATGACGAATTCCTACGTATGACGTTTGAGTATAACGATGACATTGGCGACGACACAGGCCTCCGCCTGTACCCATGCCACCCACAATCTCTGTGTGGGTTGCTCCTCTCTTTACTCGCTCCCAACTCTTTCTCTTGGGTGTGCTGCTGATGCATTCGACATGCATGAACAGCAACGAAGCGAAGCGGACAAAAGTTTTCTGGTTTTCTGTGTACGTTCGGTTGGGTTCGGTTTGGGGTTCTGTGTGGCAGTTCCTTAATAGAATTTTTGAATACGCAAAAACACTTTCAAAGAATATAAATAATGACCATTCGAATTATCAGGCAATCGTACACAGGGAGGCAGCAGTTCTGTCTGTATTTGTGTGTGTGTGTGTGTGTGTGTGTGTGTGGCAGGAGGAGTTCGTAGGCCTAGTCCTGGAAGCAGCGATAACAATAAAACAAAAGACAAGAGTCTGGTGGGTAGGGTGCAGACATGGCCATACAAAAGCGTACTTAACGCAGAGAAAGATGACTTCAAGGGAGTGAGCAGAGGCAGGATTATTGGAGCAATCTCCTGCACAGAGGTAGGACTCCCAATCGCACTCCCCTGCCTACTCTTAGTTACTGCTTTCCCACATCTAACGCTGCCGCCCCTGATGACAATTGTCGTTAGTTTCGGTTGCTGCATGCAAGGCAGAGATTCAGTCTCTCTCCCTCTCTCTCATTACACTTTAATTTAATAAACATTTCGGCATCAATCAGTGGATCAATTAATGATCCATCACCCGCGGCGATCAATCGTTTAATTTTGGGGGCTGCAACAGAGGGCAGGCTGCATGCAACCACTGCCACGCACCCCAAAAAAAGAGCCAAAAATAAATCATAAATCGAGGCGACAATGGGGCAAGCCAAAGCCAAACAATCCACAGCGGCCTCTGCTCCATGCATTGACAATTACATGGGTGCCACCCCGCCACCCCGCCACCACTCCCCACCCCGCACCCTGCTGCATGTGTGTGTCCTGCGCCTATCATTACTTTCAGTTAGCCCCACACAGAGCGAGAGAGTCCACAGTGCACGAGTCCTTTTGCATTTCACAAACATTCACGCAAATTACGCATACGACAGGGGGGTCCAGAACGAGGACTGTGCCTGGACTGTGATTGAGAATTTTCCTGCTGCCATGCCTCCCATTGCAATTGGCAAAGGGGGCGGTGATATATTTTAGTTTTGTAGAGAATTTTGTAAATGCAAAAAGCGCCGCAAACCGTACGGCAACGTCGTCAACAGAGCGAAGACAATATCTATGCAACAAAAGGGGGCAGCAATGGTGGGCTGCTGGTTGTGGCATTGGTTGGGTCGCTGCAACCGCAGTTGGCAATATCCGCGACAGAATGAATGACTTGTTGTCCACGTTGCCGCTTGCCTCAATCACAAATGAACACGGAGGACGAACCTCTGAACACAAAAAGGGTAGTAGAAGCAAGAAGAAAGCTGGAGAAAGCTGGCAAAAGGCTCTTGGTGGCTCTTGTCTATGCATATGGAATGCAAATCGAAAAACTAAACAAAAATACACTAAAAAGATAAGCAAGGAAGGAGAGTAAAGTAGAAGAAGGAAGCAACACACAGGGGCAGGGTTGGAGCAGGACTGAGTGCCGGGGCAGTACGAAAATTGCATAAGAAATCAAAATCAAATCAAAATTGTCATAATAAAACTCGCATATAGCCGGCAAATCCCATACTTTATTCAGTAGAGAGAGAGAGAGAGATAGGAGTGGGAGTGGGAGTGGCAGGAATCTCTGTGCCAGTGCAGCATGCAACAACCTATCTGTGAAGAAGAACTGCAGCAGCAGCAGCAGCAGCAGCAGTAGAACAAAACAAATTAATAGAATTGTTAAATGTGACAGGCAAATGTGTGGCAACGTGTAGGAGGCAGCAACACACACAGACAGACACACAG